AGCGTTGAGCATCAAGCCTAATTCGACTGCCGATCTGCGCAGGGGGGGCCGTTCGTCCGCCATGGTGCAGGTGCAAGCGGGGGGGCGCCCGCGGGCCTCTTCCCTCCCTCACCTCCTCCATGCCTTCAGTCCTCGGCCCAGGGCCCTGGGGCCCAGGCCCAGGGTCGAAGGCGCAATGGCGTACACGTTGAGGGCGAATGCGCCGACGCCTGGCGCAAAAAGGGGGGGGGGCGCATGCGTTGACCCTGGGCCAGGGATGCGTGCACGTTGATCCTGGGCCCAGGAGGCACCGACCCCGGACCCCGCTCCTCCGTCCCTGCCCTCCTCCGTCCTGCCCCCTCGCAGATAGCTCCTCCTCGTCGCGTCGCAGGGGCTGTCGCTGGGGCGGTCCAGGCAGTACGCCCGAGACTTCCCCACGTCTAGTGACTCCGAGCCTCGGAATGCCCGACAGCTGCACGGATGGAGTGGCAGGTCGTTCTCACACCACAGCTGTCGCATGGGACCCTTCGAGTAGTCATGTTCCCGAAGCCGCAGGTGTTCAACGGCCGCTCGGAAGGAGGGCTGGTGGTGTTTCATATTTTCAGTTCTCGCCAGAGGTGTCTGAATCTTGTACGGCCACCAGGGGTGACAGTTCCAAGGATCTTATGGATGGAAGGCGTGTATCTCTCAAACATGGGTTCTCGGTAGAAGCGCCCTTACATACTAGGATCGTGGCGCGTGGGAATTCCAACAGGTACTCGAGATGTGGGGGCGGGCCGCTTTCGACAGCTGGTTCTCGGCAGAGTCCCCGTTACGGTCGGCCACTCTTGCTTAGCGCGTCGCTCCGCCGGCAAGACGGTGGAGAGGAAGGCCGCGAAGAATCAGGAGGGAAAGAAACACACAGACACAATGAATCGTCGATTCCCCCGAAAATGTGGGAAACTATGGGAAGTGGGGGGAAGACAAAAACCCAAAATATATAGGAAAATATAGGGAATCTGTTATTTGTGTGTATTCGTTTGTGTGTCCTGGGGCCCCTTCAAAGAAGACCCCGAGCGGGACTCGAGGGCCGAGGCCAGGGCAGGCTTCCGTGGCCAGCTTCTGCTTCTTCGGGGCTTCGCGCGTCGCGCCGCCGCTTCTGGCCCACCACGCTTCGGCGCGACACGCTGGCCACGTCCCAGTCCCCAGGCGTCGGCGTCCCGAGCCGTTCCGGGCCTCCCGCCCCCGAGCGACGCGCCATCCGCGGGCAGGGCATCGCGTGTCGCCGGGGCCGCCGCCGCGGCACGCTGAGCAGCAGTTCCTGGCCTTGAGTTCGCCAGCGTGGGCTCCAAGCAGTGAGCTGGGGCCGCCTCCGTTCCTTTTTCTGGGAGGAGCCGTCGCCAATCGCAGCGGAGCCGCTGCCTTTCATCATCTACGTACTTGCCTTGATTTGCGTACTGCCTGGTTTTCTCTCTCTCTCTCTCTCTTTTTCCTTTCCTTCTCTCTTCTCATCCTCCTTGCCGTGCGACTGCACGAATCCACTCGTCGTGTTGGCTTGGGCCGCCCCTGGATGCCGACGTGTTCGCCCGCGGGACAGCTGATCCTCGCTTGTTAATGCCGCGTCAGGGCTTCATGTGGCCAACAGTTCGATTGTCTTCCTTTCTCCTTGTTGCTTTCGCCCTCTCCCTTTTTCCCCCCTGCCGGCTGCTTACCTCTCCCTGCTTGTGTGGCTGCTATCCATTCGACCCGCTGTCTTTGCATCACCTTTTCGAAGGTACAGTTTCATGGAATGGAGGTGCGATTCTTGCCAGTTGGGCCTTCCAGTGTTCGGCTCCTGGGGCTTGGGGCTCGCAGCGCTTGAAGAAAACAACGGATGTGCAAGCTACAGTATGTCATGCAGGCTATGTGGTGTAAACTGTGTGGTGCAGTATACGTGGTGGAAGCACGAGGCGGCAACGGGTACGGGCGGCAACGTCGCGAAACTTCGCCAGACCACCCAGCGCATGAGGCGGCAACATGGCCAAACTTCGCCGGACCCATTCAATCCTCCAGAGACGCAACTAAGAACTCCTGAGTGGAAGCTCTGTTTGGGGAGGGGCGGTGGCACTGTAAGGCTTGAAGTGCCAACGATTGCACGGATGGGCGGCCAGCCGTTTGCACAACATGCGGCTTTCGCTGGATATGTCAGGTCCACTGCAAACGCGGCGCCAGCCTTGAAGCTTCCAGATGCTACGCAGATGGATGCCGCCTCCTTTATCAACACCTGGTGATCGCTGTCGCTTGTGTATTCAACAGTGGTAAGTCAAGCAGCCTTACGGCTGGAAGGCAGCCCCCATCTTCAAGATCGAGATCGTGCGTGCGAGGTTCTACATCGTGTGTCCTTGTATGGGACAATTCCCGAAACTGCGCTTGCACCAGTGGTTTCTAAGTGCCTGGGTGGCTTCCCCATGTTTTGGCCCATGCCGCGCCCGTGGGCGTCTCATGGGCGCCTCCTGCGCTGGGTGGGTTCCCCGGGTTTTCGCCCAGTCGGCGCCCGTGGGAGCCTCGCTGGCGCCTCGTGCGCTGGCCCAGTCGGAGCCCGTGGGCGCCTCGCGGGCGCATGCGCTGGGTGGGTTTCCAGGTTTTCGCCTCGACGCCATCTTCATCGCCGCCGCCGCCGTCGCCGTGCCCAGAGGATCCAGAGCTCGTATGCCCAGAGGTCGAAGAACCACTCTGGCGAAGAACGGCCAGGACGGAGGAACGAGCACGAAGCTCCAGTGTCTCCTGTTGTTCCACACCCCGGGGTCGCCAGAGCTCTGGACCACTTGCCAGGGGCCGGTCCTTTCGCCCCCGGAAGGTTTTTTGCCGGTGGCGGGGCCAGGGGAGGGCACCCCGAGGCCCCCAACAAAACGACGAGCAGCAAAAAGCGAATCCGAGGCCCCCAAAAACGACGACCCTGAGATTTTGTTGCCGGTGGCGGGGCCAGGGGAGGGCTCTTTGAGGCCCCCAAAAGCGGCGAGCAGCAAATCCGCCTTGACTCTTTCCGTGCGCTGGAAGTCCGGGGAGCGCCGCCAGGGCGGAGGTCGGGCCTTCGCTTCGGGAGGCCTTCGATCCTCTGGCGAGGTGCGAGGGCCCACGCTGACTGCGCGCGGCGCCTGGTGGAGGCCCTGGGAGGACGCGCTGCCGGTCAAGGACCTGCCCTTTTTCCGCGCCCAGTGCATCGAATTCATCGTCGCATTTTTCGAAACTGCGCCTCCTTGCGCTGGGGAGGCTCGAGGTCCGAGGGCCTTTTTTTGCTAGGGGGGGGTCGATGCTCGCCCCTCTTGGACTTCCGTGAGGCTTCAACGCGGTGAAAAGCCAAATGCTGAGATGGTTCCCGGTGTTCGGCAGTTGGGGGACGTTTTCGGGCACTGGGACCGTCAAACAATTGCTCCATATGAAAAGCTAGCCCTGGGAAAAGGGTCGAGACTTGGGGCACCCCATGTTGAATATCCAGGGCATCAGATGTTTGGGTCCAGGCGTCGCAGTTCTCGACGCCTGGCGTATCCCACCAGCCCATCCAGAGACGATTCCCAGCCAAGTTGCCGTAAGGAAGAGAACGGTATCCCCCCTCCCTCTTCCTCCTCCCCCGTCCTCCTCCTCCTCCTCCTGCCTCTCCTGCTGCTGCTGCTTCGAGAAGAGGAGAAGGAAAAGGAGGAGTGGAGGAGGGAGGAGGCGGAGGAGAAGGAGGAGGGAAGAGGAGGAGCAGGAGGAGGAGGAGGAGGAGGAGGAGGAGGAGGGGCAGGAAGAAGAGGAGATGATGATGATGATGATGATGATGATGATGATGATGATGATGATGATGATGATGATGATGATGATGATGATGATGATGATGATGATGATGATGATGATGATGATGATGATGATGATGATGATGATGATGATGATGATGATGATGATGATGATGATGATGATGATGATGATGATGATGATGATGATGATGATGATGATGATGATGATGATGATGATGATGATGATGATGATGATGAATGATGATGATGATGATGATGAGATGATGATGATGATGATGATGATGATGATGATGATGATGATGATGATGATGAGATGATGATGATGATGATGATGATGATGATGATGATGATGATGATGATGATGATGATGATGATGATGATGATGATGATGATGATGATGATGATGATGATGATGATGATGATGATGATGATGATGATGATGATGATGATGATGATGATGATGATGATGATGATGATGCTGATGATGATGATGAGGGGAGAGGAGGAGGAGGAGAGGAGGGGAGGGGGGGAGGAGAGAGGAGGAGGAGGAGGAGGAGGGGAGAGGAGGAGGAGGAGGAGCAGCAGCAGAGAAGAGGAGGAGGAGAGGAGGAGGAGGAGGAGGAGGACGAAGAGAGGAGGAGAGCAGGAGAGGAGGGAGGAGGAGGAGGAAGGGAGGGAGGGAGGGAGGAGGGAGATGAGGAGGAGGAAGCGAAGGGGGGGGGGGGGGGGCAGGAGGGAGGGGCGGAGGAGGAGGAGGAGGAGGAGGAGGAGGAGGAGGAAGAGGAGAGCCGCGTACGCCTGAGAGGTTTCCCGCGAGGTACAGGGCCTCCATTCCATTGAACTCTTTCGTGGCGGCGGCCAGCGTGTCGGCCGCTTTTCGCTCCCGAGGCGGCCGCGATAGCACGCACGCCGACTTCGACAACCTGAGCCGTTGTTCTCGTGCCCCGCTTGGGCCCACGACGACATCCACGACTACCATGTCAAGGAACCCCGCCTGGCACAAGCGACTCTCACACACAAACACACAAACACACAAACACACAAACACACAAACACACAAACACACAAACGCACAAACACACAAACACACAAACACACAAACACACAAACACACAAACACACAAACACACAAACACACAAACACACAGACACACAGACACACAGACACACAACCACACACACACACTCAAGGTCTGAGCAACCGCCAGCCGCATGCCGCGCGAGGTGGCGAGACGAGCCAGAGGGTGTGGTATCTACCACGACTGCGACTTCACGGCCCCGCGGTGTTCGATTGGCTCCTGGACCAGGAATTTCGGCAAGAAGCAAGATGGACCAAAACATACCAAACTGTAGAGGACGACGTACTATGGATGCGCGACTACCTGGACGCCACAGACAAGCCGACCGAACGACCCGACATATACGAAGTACGACAAACAGCACGCACAGAACCCAACAGGTTCAAGACCACAGCGAAAACAAGGCACGATGCATGTACGACGACAGGCAGACCAAGCCCACCAATAACAATGATACAGAGCCTTCGAGCCATACCAAAACACATACGACATGCCACCAATACCAAGCATCCCATCGCCACCAGACCCACCGACCCTCGAGATGTGTTACCAACGTGGGGCAACCTTCACCAAACGCCAACTACGACCACCTCGGCAAGTACCACGAGAAAGGGAACCACCCTTCACAGTGGGCATGGGGCTCCATGTGCTGTGCTTTCAGCTGCCAGTACCACGCGTACGCTAGGCTTGCCATGCACCCTCAGGCGACATCATCATGCGTGGTACCATGGATGAAAGGAGTCCAACCGTACAGCGACGAGGAAACATATGACAATAGAGAATACATACGAGCTTGTCAGCGAGCCAACATCAAAGCAGGCAGGCCACTCGACTACGCCCACATCCTCAGTTTCACAACTAACATCATGCTTACCTTCATCAAGGACACGAGCGCAGCTCACGACAAAACCCCACCTGTGGAGCGTCCAGCAGATGATCGACAGACGACCAACCCAACCATGCCGCGACCCATGGGGCAGCGCGTTCTGAATCTCTGCAGTGGGCGCAAAAGGGAAGAAGACTTGGAAGGAGGGATTAAACAAGTCTAACCGCCACGTGGCAGGCAGGTTTACACGCTGTCCATCGACATCGCCAACCATGCCACCGCGGGGGGCCTGGCGAACTGGGCCACAATTGCCTCCTGGGCCAACCAGATGCGGGAAGGACAAGTAGCAGCCATGATGGCCGGGCCACAGCGCGAGACATGGAGCGCAGCATGAACGAGAGACCTACCCGACGCCGAGCACTAACTTCGACCTTCGCGTAGCTGGGATCAACCGTGGGGCCTTGATTACCAGGCGGAACAGGAAAACGACCATGTCGACATCGGCAACCAATCCCAAGCGCCACTCTCGACGTAGCATGCGCCACCGGGATGCCAGCCACCACGGGGCACCCTGAAACGGCCCATGACAGCAGACAGGTTGCAAGCAGGTGGCTACTACCAATGGTGCAACACTTTCTACGCCGACACAGTGTGCGACGCGCATATTTCGACCAGTGCACGCTGGGACGGCGGGCCCGCCAAGCTACAAGTCTGCTCGGGGTTGGTAGGCCAAACCATGCCCGCATGTCTTCTCAAAGTCGAACAGATGCACGTGTAAGCATGGACCAGGGGCACACCCGCCGCTGCTCAGTCGCAACGAGGACGGCACATGGCGAAGCGCAGCAGCCAAGTTCTAACCGACCGAGCTCAGCAATCTATTGGCAGCCTTATTGTCCGAGGCAATGATGAGCAGATGAATAGCAACACCAACCACGCAAGAGTGGCACGTCGAGGACGCGCGTTCACCAGTCAACACCCTACTGGACTCGCATTCCACGATTTCAGGCACAGCACAGATGCCATGAACCACTGCCACCTCGCACAGGCCGACCAGTATACCACATCAACCTAGCACAGTTAGCTCTACGACCGCCGACTGCCACGCTACACCACGACTGATAGGGACTAATCAGCCAACCGCGCAGCCCACATAACGCGGGGCTTGTCCCGTGATAGGCATTGCCTCAACTTAACCTTGAACTACGTCTACTAAGGGTTCTCGCAGGCCTGATATGAGGGGTAGGCTGCCCCCCTCAGTCGACCAGTGACAGAGCGGAGCGACTGCGTTTATATATATATATATATATAAAAAAACAAAGCAAAAAAACGATCACGTTGACATTCCCACAACGCTGCGCTCCTCCCTCCATCCTGCACTTGTTTGCAGCGCGTGGTTCAAGTACCGAGGCCCCGCATCACCTACCCCAACCATGAGCAACGCAATTAGCCGTGGGTCAGTCCGTCATGGAGCCAGCGGAACCGAACAGTGCATCGCGACGAGCGACTACCAGATCTTTAACCAACTACCTACGATACGATTCGCGGGGGGCCCCCACATCTGGATCACGGAGGGCTACAACAACTTAAGCTCGAAAAGCGCTGAGCGAGCACATCAATTACGGCAGCGTGGAAGACGCAGCATGGCACCGAGCGCAGCACCGGAGTTCCGACAGGAGGACAAGCCGAGGTTACTACGCGGCCAGAGCACCCCATATGGCACTAAGCTCCTCGACTACCCACCTTCCGAGGACCAGCGACCCGACCCGAATTTCTCAGCGCCGGCAGCGCGAGCGCTAGACCGAGCTCAAGAAGGATTACAGTATGCCACGCTATCCAAAGAGTACACCTACGCGGCCCTGGAAATTGGACACGTCTTCATCGCGACCAATACACCAAGAGGATGGATGAAGACACTCCACCTACACCACTACACACTGGCATACTTGGCGGCCACCAACCACGGATGGAACAGGGGCGCTGCCGAGAAAGCCGACGACGCCCGAGGGAATTTCGCCATCAGAGATTTTACAGACACAGGCATAGACGCCGTTGACCGCCACTACCCAGCAATAACGACCCATATACCTCATCACAGGACGGCAGTATGGGTCTGACCCAGGGGCGCCGCCTCCACGCGGTCTCACGCGGTCTGACGAGCACTCATCGCTGCCCGTCCATGGGAAAAAAGCCAAGGAGATGGACGAGAAGAACCTGATATACCTGGTGCCTCGGCAAAGAGGTCCACGAGGCGCGGAGATGTCTAGCGTCGACCAGAATCACCAGGTCATGGCCACGCAGATGCAGAAACGAGCAGACCAAGAAGGTACAAAAATCAATCCCATCCGTTCGAAGGCCTAGAGCCGCACGTACCTGCCCCACGTCACCGACCAAAACAGCAACGCGCAGGACCCAGGCGACGCCGCGCCCTTTCTCCTCTACTTGACCGACGCCTCGGCACCCATGGGAGCAAAGGCCGCGCGCCCACGAAGCGAC